GTTTAGAAATAATTGTTTTGGGCTATCGGTGGAGGATAGTCGTGATTGTTGTAGACATTGCATGTGGATTAGGAATAACTGAAACTAATCACATTGGTTAAGTCATTAATTTTGACTGTGGCATTGATACAGAAAATACGTGGAGAGAGGGACAAACCCATGTGATAAAGTGGAGAGAGAGTCGGTGAGTGGGGTGCAAAAGGTGAAGGAGAAATGATGGATTGAAAATGGTTTGGGTCAAAAGTGGACACTGTTAGTGGGGAACATGAGTGCATTGATTATTTGATATAATAATAATAATAATAAAAATAAAAAGTTAGAACAGTTGGAGAGAATGAGTGGAGTATGGTAAGGGTTTCATCCAAAGCCAAAATTTCTGCAGCGAATCACTTCGCAAATCCTAGCATGAGTTTTTTCTCTTTCCAGGCTTATTCATGAATTTCCTGGTGATTTCAAGAGCCTCTGGTGGCATTGTGGCAGAGAACACCCCGACCTGGATTTTGGGTGGCAGCAACTGAGAACACCCCAACCTGGATTTTGGGTGGCAGCAATTGGAAAATATCATAGATCTGATTTTTAAAAACCTCGTGACAGCATTTCATCAGCTTCATCCAAGACAAACATTTTGATGTAAACAGGGCGAAGTGATTGTCTCCGCAACATGTCAAACACGCGACCAGGAGTACCAACAACAACATGAACCCCACTGGAGAGAATGCGCTGATCTTCGCGCACACTAGTCCCTCCAACACAAGCATGAACCTTCACACTTTGCTGGGCAAGTTCAAGAGTGGGTGGAAGAACCAAAGCTTGGCACTCAACCAAGCTACAATCTAGCTGCTGCAGAATTCCAGAGCAGAATGTTGCAGTGTTTCCAGTTCCAGACTGTCTCGTCATATGAGGTGAAGAATTCTTCTCCATCAGCCTCACACATGACTACAGTTGCACAAATCTTTGTTGATTTTATCAGCGGAATAGGTTGAGGTCCGGCGGGCGGCTAAGGTGAGGTTGCCGCCCGCCGGGGAAGCGAAAATACTAGGTTTTAAACCAGCTCTGATACCATGTAAGAAATAATGTATAGAGAAAGAGAGAGAATAAATTGTATGTATTATTATTGATTGATATATTGATTGATAGATTACAAGATGCATTAATTACAATTCCTATACAATCTATATATAGAAGAAAATGTGGTAGTAGGTGTAGTGGAGGTGATAGTGGGTTAGGTGAAGTGGAGTGTGTAGTGGAGTAGGTGAAGGTAAAGATGGGAAATTCTAACAGAACATTAGCAATCATTTAATCTGGTTTGCCAGATGTGTTGCCCATCATTTCATTGGCATCATATTATAGCCCGTAGTAGATCCTTTTGATCGCCTAATAATGTGGTTTTCTTGGAATTCTATTTAGAAGTATTGAAAAGGCCTAAAGATTTGTAATGTCTTCTGAATTTTTATTTTAATATCTTTTTATGCAATAAGAAATATGATTAAAGAGAACAATGAAGTCTGGAATGGGAACATTTAGTATGTTTTCTGTCACATCCCAAACCTGGGGACAATGACCCACTGTGGATGACGAAGTGTTAGCCTATGGAACACAAAGGTCAATAATCATAAAACAATGTATAGTGTCTCAGCATGCGCAAATAACATCGCAACTATATGCAATGGATGAATTCTAAGAGGTCACATAACATAGGTCCCTACAGATGACATAAAGCCCCATCTAATGCTTTCGCTGCTTACCTAAAATTAATAAAGAATGAAATGGGCTCACAAGCCAGTGAATGGAAAACATGTATAATATGCTGTAGTTCTAAAACAAGGTATAATTGTAAAATAGCTATTATTCAGAAAATATAAACGATATACAGTTTGGTTTGCAAAACTAGTGGTAACAAATTAATTCTCAGTTAAAATTTGGTATCATGGCTAAAAAAAAAAGCAATCTCAATCTTCAACTTGTTTCCAAAACAGGGATATCAATATTCATCTCAAGGTAAGAAAACAATAAAAGAACAAGTGATATCATCATGATTGTTCACGATAACAATGTAGTATATCAATAAGATAACCATTCTATAATGTTTAGGGGCATTCTTGGGCAATTGGATCCGACATTCAACTTAGAAACTTAGATTCCTCTTCAGATGGCATCCGAGCCTTTTCTTTTAAGATGATTCAATTGAAGGTCACCCTGCCTGACTTCGGTGTATTCTGTTAAAATTGATGTATTATTGATTGATATTTTGATATTAATTACAATGATTCATGATTCCTATACTTAAACCCCAAATTGCAATAAAACAAAAAAGGCACACTCATGTAATACCAAATTTATCCATATTTATAATATTATTATACCCAAGTGCACACCTACTTAATTTTGTACCCCCTCTCCATCGTGGTTCAAGAAGGTCCCTCCTCTTCCCTCTCCCGTTGAAGAATGACGACAACAATCCCTCCCCTATTGAAAATGATGACAAAGACGGTCCCTCTCTTTAATTTATTTGAAATCAATGAACGATGGTGTCCATTTTATCAGAACCATTGCATCATTGTTGTAAAACTGAGCCAAAATGACACCGCCGATTGATCACCTGGTCATCCGATCGGTCGACCGCCCAAGGGGTGGTTCAACATTGTGTTGTCGAACATAAACAATTTTCTCAGTGCTATGTTATTTGTTCAGTATTGTGCTGCAAACATAAACAATTTTTTCAACACTGTGTTG